GGGGGTGAATTCTGTAAACCGCAACCAGTAACTGGAAAGTCCAGTGGAGTACCTTCAGGCAAGCAAGCGGTGGAAATTTTATTTCCCTATAAAGTTGACCCTAAGCCTATGAAGCTCTAAAGTTCAGCGTGGGGGAGCTCGTGAGAGTGCGTTTGGTGTTTTACTCCGCAACTATGATACCTTCCGACACAGGAAGGGGAAAGGCGGGGTCCGGAAAATAGAAGGGAAGGAGCTTGAAGAATAAGAAAAAAGCCCTGATGTATGACATACCGGTACAGTACAGTACCTGTACACTCGCATCCCCAAGGTTCTCGTAACACCAAAGGTACCGCACAACTGCTGCCCGGATATCAGGACATGAGTGACTCTTTCTCAAGAAATATTTCTTAACGCGGTAATGACAGATTCTATAGAGGAGATTTATATTTTGTACGATATTTATAATACCCATCATAAGTAAAACCCCCCGACTGACATAAATATCATACCTACCGAATCATGACCAATTCATGTGATACGACTCCACCCAATATACTTATAATACTTGCACAGTAAAGTACTTGTTACGAACGAGTTTGTCAGGGTGACCCCCATTTCCCCCCCCCCCCCAGTTACTATATAGTACTTGAAAAGTACAGTACGATACCGTACCCGTTTCCCCCCGCTAAGCGATCAAACCTCCGCATCCCCCCACCGGCACTTTTTTTTTACATATATCTCGCACCGTTCTCCGTACAGGGTAGGGTATGTGTGCGTGGCAGAGGACGCTCGAGTGATTTTTCGTGAAGTATAGAAGGATATTCAACTACCATGTGCCATGAACGGCCGGTCGGTTGATCCTGGCTCTGGCACAACGGCGCGTTTAACGTCTCGAATCTCGCACATACATCGCTCTGCGTTCTGCCGAGATAATATTCGTGTGTGTTCGGGCGCAAGGAGGACAAGTTGTGGAATTAAAAATAATAATGAAAAAGAATACTTGGAAACAAGTTAACAATCGAGATAATAGCGAAAAAGAAGGGACCTCCTTCCGAATCGAATGTTTTTCTCGAATGTAAAATAAATAAAATTTAATAATAATAAAAACTCCTTAAGGATAATCCCTACCTCATCATCAACTTGCCGGATTAGAGTAACAATGCAAAAAAAAAAAAAACCGGTAGTTCACACCTACCGTAGTCTACCTTACCTACTGTACATGTCTGCAAATATACCTGCAAAAGCTCCAAATTACCTTAATTATCCCCTCGGGAACGGTTACCCACGTTTATGTAACAGGGGGTGGTGGGGTGGGCGGGAGAAATAAAGTAAAGCAAACATCTCCAAAAATGGTGAAAATGACACATCTTAACCGAAAACGGTTTTGAAAAAAGGAAGCAAAAAAAAAAAAACCCCCCCTTTTTTTTTTTACTCAGGTCTCCGGTCGAAATATCGGCTCTCCCTTTGCTTTTGCCGATAATGTCACGTCTCAACTTCTTTGGTATGATATGGTATCATGTTGAGTTGTCGATATCTGTCAGTCGGATTTGACATTTTCCAAAAATCTTTTGGATTCTATGAGGGTTAAGTTATGTATGATGCGTCACTTTCTATCATCGATACAAGGATAGATAAATTATATTGAATATCATAGTGCAATAGCGACAAAATGTCCACTACAAATGCCCCCTGGACAAATTCAGCGCTTGTAAGGGAATCG